AACCAAGTACCAGCATGGGCGTGCTCGAACATCCTGGTTCTTGCATATGTTCAAGGTCGGGCAACGGTGATGTAGATAGATTTCGGAAAGTGCGATGATGTAATGGAGTGACACCAGCATCACCTACAACAGGTATGCTTTAGTGAAAAAGGACTGAGATCATCCTGGCTTTCGCATTATGCCACCTCCAAAAGTCTTACCGGCTTCTACAAATGCAGAACTAGAATTATCCCGTCTTCCTGGAATCATCGATGCACGACCCTATAATGAATCTGATAAAAATTATAACACATTTTCTGATGATTGACAACTCAAAATTGAGAGAGAAATCCACGCATTACCAGAACTCGTAATAAAGAAAAAAACTAATTCATCACACCCACGTGGGGTGTCGTTGTTAGTGTAGAAGTGTTAGTAGCATTTGTGCACTCTCGATTTTCTTTGCCCACAGCACCCACAAAAAGTGTCTCAACAGAATCTGGCTCAGTTAGTTCTTCGATCGGATCAGCTGCTAAAAATAGATATGAAAATTACTACAAATGGATTGCGCAGAGTTCAAGCTTCCACCGAGATCTTTGAGATTTCCTTCTTTCGGCAAGTTAGCCCAGATGAAGATGAATGTGGTACAGTGGCAAGTAGTGCCAAATACCAAGTACAAGGTCACAGTCGAATCCCTCCCTGATCGGGTATCGCCTAGACCAGATGAGCTTTCCCTCCCTCCAAGGTTTGTCAATTGACAAAAATACGTCTCAGAAGATATGTAGAACTTTGAAGGCCCTAAACAAAACTATTGATCCCACAAGTCATTATAGAGGCCATACCACGTTCAGGTGTTGCTACGATCCTAAATGGGATAAAATGTGTGGCGGATATCTAAGGAGAATTAGTCAGCTCCAAAGCTTGACCCTTCGGCCTGACACAATTCGCAGATTTGGTCCACGAGTCAAAATCTCAACTGTTCACCGAAGTGGGGCCCCCTTACGCTGTGTCGACGAGCACTCAGAAAAATTATACGAAGAAGATAAACATTTTATTAGCCTCACCTATTGACGCTCTACTTAAGTGGCCTCAACAGCGATTGACGTTCCTTGGTTGTTGCGCAGTTTGCACTTATACCAGGCGTATAAGAGCCAGAAGATCCTAAAAAATCAAAAAGCAGTGAAGTTGTTAGTTTAAAAAAATATATAAACGATTTACGCGAGAATCTCCTGGAGCAAAGCTCTAAGGTAGTTCTAATACGCGACTACGAAGAGCAATTGACTTAATCTAACGCTCTGAAGTCAAAAGCTATCGAAGAAGACTTTAACATATTCATTATAAACTTTTCATACATCTTTATCTGACTGCTTTGTCTTTATCAGCCAGTACTCCAATTTGATTTTTTATCAATGAGTTCAGGACCAATAGGCTACCAAGGAAAAACGAATAAGTTCATTACAACAAAAGACTCACTTTTTGGTTTCAATGGCGGGCGGCGGCCAACAAGGGCAAACGTGGCTTTCCGGTACTTGTCGAACTCATGCTCCCGTTCAGACGGCGTCAGGCTCGTCTTCTCATTGCATTTCGTTACCGCGTTACTCTCTGAAAAAATCTCAACGTTGACAAAAGCAATAATTATTAATTTCAAAAAAGATAGGCTTCCACAAACCGCTTGATTTCTTCCCGTAGTATTCATCGTACCTTACAAGCTTGTCTCCCACAGCTTTCATTCGCACTCCCTCCTCATTTTCGATGTACAACGAGAAGTCATTTGCCATGTCTATCTGAAACCATGAACATGATAACCTCGACTACTCCATGCGATGAAGATTTTTGCTTCCGTGCGGAACGGAAACTAGACTACTCTGTTTGACCCCACATAATAATATGTATATCAATAAATTCTGCCTCTAACACTGAAAGTTCAAACTTCATTGAAATCATAAATAACGTAAATTTCACATATTTGTCAATAAAAACGTTCAATTTGAACGTGCTTCTGAGCGCATCGAAACTGATAAAATCAAACAAGATATGAATTTTGGAGACAGCCAGGCAGTAGTTTTTGAATTGATTGCAGCCTTTCTCATGGCTTTCTGGCTTGCTTCAAAGATTAACGGCTATTTTCTAAAATTGCTTATACCAGGGCAAATCATGGTAATATTCACAAAAATATAAAAAAAAGGATTTCACACTGAACATCTCCACCTTTGTTCTAATGAGTTAAGGGAGTGGGAAAGTTCAGGGAAGAAGTAGAACCTCTATAGTACTGCGGTGAAACTGCTGAAGATCGCTATTCCCAGTTTTTACAAGATCAGTTTTCTTTTTCAAAATCACGTCCAATATTTTGTAAGGCGTACAACATTAATAAAAAGAGTACAGGAAACGTACATACCTCCTCAACTAGTTTTTCAAGCATGGGCTCATCATCGTGAAGTTCCGAAATAGCTGGTAAGTTGGATACATTGGAAAAGGCCTTGAAAGTATTCCAATTGAAAAAATGACAAAGCGGATAGGAACAGCCTCTTCGTCTTTTTATTTCTGAAAGTCACCTTAGGTGGTTCGTTTTTCTTCTTACGAGGTTTTGGGGCAGATGGAGACCTCAACGCGAAGTCGTCCTCGAATGAATCGTCACCAAAAAGCTAAAAATTATAAAATAAGAAGACGCAACATCGCATATCTAAGTAAACGACCTACCTTGTTACCCACTCTAGTAACACTTCTGCTTTCTTAATCATGCAAGAAACGAGACAAATAATGAACAAATATAAACATCCACCTTAACGTCATGGTGATCCACAAGAATCACAGGGAATTGGACTGATGGTCGAGTACGAAAAGATCGTCGGACACTTGAATTATTTAGGAGGTGCTTCCCTTTCACAACCATAGCTGTATCTGAAAACAAAAATCGGGTGAAGCGAAACACTGATGAACAAACAAACATCATTTGGACTAGATGTAATCAAAATTGGCTGAATCGGTAAGGAGATCAAAAGAATAAGAATTTAAGGAATGATGAATATGAAGTCCACACCAATTCCTTTCCTTTGTAGATATAGGGATACAGGGCACGACCTGCATGAGTACAAATGCCCCTAACATTATAAAAAATTTAATTATCAGGGCCTTGTTTGAATCCCAGAACCTAAGAACCACGGGGCGGAAGTTAACATCTAGCAGCAGACCTCAACTAGGCAATATGCTACCCTGCCCTTCGGGAAAGAAGAAAATCGAAGCCTGAAGCATCACGTATCGATTTGCTGAAGTACCGTAAGGAAAGATCCTACTGATCCTACAAAGACGCCGACGTCAAAGTAATACCACAGAATAAAGAGGGTCATGTTTGTATTGAACTATTGCTTGGTAAGCTGACTACTCTGCTACGAATTTTGCCTAATCTACTCACTGAATAGTGGTCTTTTATTCTCGGATTACTGCAGGAATGTAAACCGCGTCAACAGCCAACATTACGGCAGATTGGAGGATTAGGGAATTCGATATTGAGTTGAAAAGATTAGTCAAGTGTTGAATGACATGACTGTATGCTCCTGCTCTCCCAAATATGTCACTAATGTTTCGGCAAATCTCCTACTCTCCTGAACAATGAATAGAGACACCGCCCAGCACAGGCAATTTTGATTGTTTCTGAAGTACCGTGGTCCAATTTGTAACACGACGTAACACGACACACTTCATTATAGTCGATTTCTCATCTATACAAGGGGGGAGGGGGCTTCAAGCAACAGCGCGCTAGTCAAAAAGCCTTCCTCCTGCATAAGCGAGTCAGACATTCCCTTTTTGCGAATCGCCGCGATTCGCTATAGCGTCCGCGTCGCGCTTGTGTATTACCAACCTTGAGTTATTCACTAAGCCGCGACCGCGCCCACCTCAGACGCTAGCGAATCGCGACGATTCCAAGTTGACATCGGCCTAATTCAACGGACGCCATGCGTGGACCAGGAAATCGTGCTTCGTCTCAGCTCAACGGTTTCAGTAGTACTGTTGGGAAAAGTTGTGAAAGACGGTTCTGTTTCCAGTGGCGAGAAAACTGTTGCATTTTAGATTGGCGCCTACGAGTTGGTGTCAAATGGCGCTAAATGTAAAAACCAGATATCATATTCATAGTCAAGACCATGTTGAGACCAACAAGAAGCTGTTCAAGAATTGAACCATTGACATTATTGCACTACTACTTTTTGATACCACTGGCCGATGTCAGACCTTGCGATTGGAGCGATTTTGCACCAAGTGCAGGAGCGACGGATCGCTCCAAAGGGCGAGCGACGCCACTTAATCTCCACGACGCCGTGTTACACGGAGTGATCATTTTGTACTCCTACTGACTAGTATAGGGCGCCATTCGTTGCGGGACCCACTGCCTTAACCCGCGGGGATCCCATGTGATCGCGGTTGAATTCGAACATTCCAGCTTCTCACGCATGTCAAGTGTCTGCCCTCACCCCCCACCCCCCTAGACTGGCGACACTGCCCCTGGCTCACGGATTCCCCGCTCCACATTGAAGGGTTCACTGTAGCAGGAGGCAGTGGGACCCGTAACGAATGGCGTCCTTTACTAGTCAGAAGGAGTACAAAACGATGCGTTCGTATCGTCCCGTGGCGGAGATATTCCAACGCACAGTACTTTGGAGCGCATCCGTCGCTCCTGCCAATTTGGTGCAAATCGCTCCCGTCGCAAAGACTGAACTCGCGCCACTAGAACCATTCAGCGGAAACGAAACATGGTTTTGTTGCTCGTACCTGGCGAAAGACTCCTCCCCCATGTTAGAGTCTGCAATGTTCCCCACTTATCTTGCAAAGCAACTTTGCGCCTAATTATTGATGCCATTTCTGATTGATGGAGCTTCACGACTCACTCCGAGAGTGGTAATGATAAACCACCACAGAAATTATCTTAGTTCTTTCTAACGGTCTTGCAAAGTAGTCGAAGGAATTTGTTTGGTATATTGAAGCAATGTTGTGCTTGCTCAACATGACAAGGCCAAATGATCAATGGAGGTGGCTCTTGTTAAGACAATCAATGAAGAGGCCCTTCTGTTCTACATAAATGCATCATGTGTCCGCTCGAAAAACCAACCTTTTTCTCGGTCAGTGCGATTCCCCTTAGAAAACTATTGATCCGATCGATCGCTTCTCTAAGTCTTGGAATGATACTTTCTACATGCAGTGAAAGAGAACTCGAAGCAAAGCATCGAGAGCCGCAAAAACTGCACCTAGTTTCACTTTTATCGAATTCAGATTTTGAAAACAAAACGTCGATTATCGCTCAACGCATAATCCTCCACCACTCCATCAAGAACGAAGGCCACCATACAGCTCCCTTCCCGTGCTCTTAGCTTATCAAAGTTGAACCCAGTAATGTCAAAGGCCACAACCTACTGTTAGTTGCAGATGGAATTTTAAACGAAAACGCCTCCACTCCAACGGCCGTACCTACTTTGAGTTCACCTCAAGAGGTAAGCAGCGCTTGGACAAGCACCGAACCTTTAGCCATTGTAGATCATGCCTGAGCCCTCGCTTGATCACCCCAAACTCAACCTGGGTCTCATCCAGTAAGGGAGGAGGGCATGTGGTGCGACAGTTCATATTGCATGAAGTAATCCACTTTTTTTTCAGGGGAGGGAAGCTCCGGGGTGGGTGTAAAAGTTTAAGCGAAATGGTTCACGCACCCCGGGGATTCCCTCCCCTTGCAAAAATTGGAATTTCTGTAGCCGGCAAGAACTGTCGCACCACATGCCCCCCTTACTGGATGAGACCCCTCAACCGGATTATTTCGTCATAAATATGATGGCAAAAACTAACGCGAACAGATAATATTTCTCTTCGTCTCAGCAAAACCATAAGGGAATAGCTTCCCCACCTTCGTGCGATTACTACTTGTTTCAGCTTCACGAATCAAAAGGAAAGGATTCCAACAGCTTAAGGATAGGACTATAGACCAGTGGACAAGTAGTGGATTGGGTTTAAAAGCGCTGTACTAGGGATCGTAGTCACAATGATAGATGGAGAATAACGCTAGGTGCTCCACCTGCTCTCAAAGAACGCTGTTGAATGTTACCGCTCAACCTGTTTCATTTACTTTCGAAACGGCTATCAATGGGAAAGCGCTGTTAACCGACTGCACCATCAAAGGAAAGCCACAGCACAAACTACCTAGCACTAATGGAAGAAGAGGACTAAGAAACTCCGAATTATGTCCTCAGTATAATAAAATACCTTCTCCTGGAAATAAGCAACCAAAAATTGAACATGGAAGAGCATTCAGCAAGATTACATGATCAAATTGCTCGTCCCATTAAAATCAACGGCAACTTGCTGGCAGAGAGCCAGCATTCGGCACTAGCTACCGTACTAGCGACGAAGTCAACATGCGAATCAACGAGGTAATCGATTTTGAAAGTTTCAGAACTGGTTGCGTATGTCATGAGTTCGGAACAAGAATCCAGTGAAGATTTTACTCTTATCATTCTCTATCCTTTCACTTATAAGGAATAAACGTTGTTTCGGCGTTGTTGTAGGTTTTTGGAGCGTCGATTGGGAGATCAGCTCCTATTTTTGGGTGTTTTGTCCATGTAGCTAATATACTCATCAATATCTTCGCTAATCTTCATTCGTAGTTGCCCTGTTTCTATTTTCAGTTGATCTCTTATCATTGCACATTGTATTTCTGGGAATTCCATCATGTTCTATGCTCATTTCTGCCTTTACACTCTCTGCAACCACCACGGTCAAGCCCGTGCCACGTGAACACGCGAAATACTAGTAAATCTGCCTTGACACCTCCGTTCCAGTGATCATTGTGTAGGTACAACACAGTGTTGTCTTCCAGGGCTCTATCATGGGTGGAGATGAGAAGAAAGTCTTAGTCGTCCAGAAAAAGAAGAAGAGAAAGAACAACAAGAAGAAAGTAAGTTGTTTCTTTTTCTCACGAATGAGAGTTGTTTTTGCCTAAATATTACCGTCTACTTTTGGCTTTTGCACATTTTCAAGCTACGATGTTTTCCTGTTCCTGGCGATGCAGGGCCCCGTCAGAGTTTAAGTTGTGTTTCTACTTCCATGATAATTTTCACGTCGAAAGCGCCAGCTGTAAGCGTTCATCATCCCCGTCAGTTTGATTTAACAATGTAATTGATTAGTGATTAATTATGCATTTTTCTTCCCTTGGTTTATGTTTTTTGATCTGTTTTATTTGTAGACACTTCTAGCAAAACCTTAACGTGTAATAGCATGGTATCGATGAAGGCACCGTTGTTTTCCTGCTTTTCCTTTTGTGCCCTTATGATTTTTCTTGTGGCACGCAGTTATGACTGAGCAATAGAGCCACGTGCTGGCATTCTTTTTCAGTTTACTTTACTGCGTTTATTCTTTACAGGCTAACAATAAAGTCAAGCTCCCTGCACCAACGAATGGCCCATCGAGTCAACTGAACGGGAACCATGATACGCCAAGAGATTTTGAGTGAGTTGCGATGAATGACTTTTTCCTTTTTTTCAAGATTTGTAAATAGCGAAGTTTTCGATTACTTGTCTATGCGAAAGCGGTAAATATTTGCGAAACCTGAGAACCGTTTGATCAAAGATTGTTCACCTCGCTAATATTCACCAACGCTTGTTAGCTAACGGCTAACTTGTGCGATGTCGCCTGAGACGCCGCCCTCCTCGAGTGTTGGACACCTGTTAGTTGCGATCTGTGCCGTCAGGTGTTCATTCTTCTTCTGCAGCAGGCTGGGTTTGCTACAAATCGATTCATACTCTGATGGCTATATTGATATATTCGCCTGGCTAGTCATGTTCGTCGCTTTTCTGTATCGATGGCTTTCGCCGGCACGACAATTTGACGATTCCGAAGTTACACGTTTCGATGCTTATTCCGACGAAAATGCAACACGCTCGCTATCCTCTCCAGCTTGTTTAAACACCGAGGATTGTACAGGAAGTTTTTCTAACGATCGCAGCAGCGATGGCGCTTCTGAAGAAATTGAGCAGCGATCTATCATTGATATCGACCATCACCACCAGGCAGCTACTACCAATTGCCTCGCGGGCAGTCCACGCTTCGAAACGCCATCGTTCCATATCGACATTCTTGCTGTTTCATCAAGGCTGAATTCATTCATATTTGGTTCTAAAAAAGTGCACGCTTCGGATGACTCATCACATCACATTGTGGAGGAGGATGGCTTGAACTGTTCAGAAATATCGAAGGAATCGAGGTTTAAAAAGGAAGCACGTAATGACAGGGATGAGTACACCGAGCACACTGTCACTGTTCTTTTCACTCCATGCTTCACTAACGATCACGATGCTAGCATTGTGCTTCCTGATCCTGTCGCTCTGAATATAACATCTCTTGTGTTGTCCAACGATATAAAATCTGCCGGTGATGATTCCTCCACTCATAGCTCCTTTTCACTCCATGTAAAATGTGCTGACGAAGAGATATCCAAGTGCATGAGCAGTTCGGCATCGTTTATAACTTCGAGTACATTTCCATATGAATCCGGTTCTGTGTCCAGTTCTGAACCTTTCGGTAATGTATCAGAGAAGAAAATTCCTGCACGACTCGCGCACCTACAATCAAGGTCGGGTTTCGAAATAATCTCTATCATTTGTTTCAGAAACATTTTTGTTTATTTTTCTTCTGGAAATACGGAAATATGTAATGTTAGCTATTAGTAGACCTTTCTTTTTCTGTGCTCGACTTCTCTGGAAACAATTACTTTTTAGTGACGTCGAGAATACTACTCCGAATGGTAATGCTAATATGAAAAAGTCAAAAACGGATGATAATTGTTATCAAAGTAAGTTCTTGTTGCAATTTCGTTGTTCCGTTGTTGTTCTCCCATTGTTGTATGAAATTCCTACAATATTGTCTGTTGCAGCTCCAGAAGATTACTATGGGAATGTAGGACCTTGGACGAAGCCAGTGTCTTTCCAAAATTTTAAACCTGGTGAAGAGTACAATAACTGGTCTGGAAGTCCAGGCAGCGAATCAGCTGGTCACCGGAGTGGTTCCAGTGAAGATGGCGAGCCGGTAAGTGTTCAGCATCGCATTCCTTATCTCTTTTTTATTGATTTGTCGTAAAAAAGTATAACGTTGTGCAGTTCATTCTTTGGTGCTTTCTTTAGATGCATTTTTATAGGTAATGAATTAGTTTTATGTGAAGTGTTCTTTGTGTAAAGTAGTTGTCCCTTACTCTGTTTACCATTACATCAATATCTGCTGAACAATGCTGCAATAGGTATGTGCTCAAACATGTGTAATGTGTGTCGTCTTTAAAGGCTGTTCAAGAGGAAGTCTTGGGCTCGGATGATGAAGAGCAGGAAGATCCCCGGGATTACAGGCGTGGTGGATATCATCCTGTTAATATAGGCGACGTCTTCAATAGAAGGTGTGTGAGGTTTTTTTTTCATTAAATCGATATTTGCTTCATTTTTTACCTAGTACTTCAAATATCTTCATTCAACCTGCCCTGAGTAGCAGTGCTAGACAATCAATGCCTATTTTCCCCATGCATATTTAATGTTTTGATCATCCAAGCAGTTGCGTCTCATTGTTGCTGATTTATATATGGTCCACCGCATGGCAATACGCGGTTAGTAGCGCGATCGGTATTCACTGTGAAGGTGCCATATTCAGATAGAATACCCTCCATTCACGGTAAATAATGTGTCGAAAACCATCCCGTGAATAGGAGCCCAGTTCTCCTCACTTTTTGTTTTTCCCACTTTTTTGCGCTGAGATTGATGGGTTGTCTGTGTACGTGACGAAGTTCTAGAAACGTGAAACAAGAAGGAAAAGCTGGTTACCTGCTGACTAATTGAATTTACATGTAGAAATAAGCGATGTTCTAAACTACGCAATCCATTATTGTCTCGAAGCAGTGGTGCAATTCGTCATCCAGCTGCTCTTCCATATGACTCCCGGTCTATATTTTTATGACATCAACAGGACTCAGAGATTTTTTTAGTGAATATTTGTTTTCGCAAATCCTACTTTTTGATTCATTTTATAGGTATCATGTTATTCGCAAGTTGGGATGGGGTCACTTCTCGACCGTTTGGCTGTGTTGGGACACTAAAGACAAACGATTTGTTGCAATGAAAATAGTGAAATCGGCGGACCATTACACCGAAGCCGCACAAGATGAGATTAAGGTGATTGGTGTGCTGTCCAATCGTCTCCCAGTAAGTCTGTAAATTGGCGTGTTCAGCTTTTACTCGCCGTGCGGGAAGCTGACCCTGAGGATCCCGGTTGTCAGAGAGTGGTCCAACTGCTCGATGAATTCACTGTCAGCGGTGTCAATGGTGTTCATACTTGTATGGTTTTTGAGGTATGTTTCTTCATACATTTTTTCTTGTGCACAGTCGTAGTTTTCTGTTTGTTTTGTTTAGGTCCTTGGTGCAACCTCCTTAAATTAATTATTCGATCGAATTACCAGGGTCTTCCTCTCGAACAGGTTCGGAAAATCACTAAGCAGGTGAGTATGGATTTTATTAGCTGTTACGTAATAGCATCGTTTATTCCGATAATCAGAGTTAAAGTAAAGTTAATAAAGCTGTTTTCTTCCACTGCGTGGAAATGAAAAATATTGAATGAATGAGTGAGAATGGAATTTCTTCTCCGATTATCTTATCTTCATCTTTTACAGGTACTCGAAGGTCTCAGGTATTTGCATGAGAAAAGTAAAATCATTCATACCGACATAAAGCCGGAAAATGTATTAGTAACGATGAGTCATGAGGAAATCAAGGTACAGTACTTTTTTATGATTTAAATTTGAATCACTATTGAAGAATTACGACCACTTTCTTGCCTAGTATGTGTTTTGTTTATTTTACTTATGAGCAGCAAGTGGGGACTCTCTCATTCATAGCGGCAACTTCTGCTTTGCAGCTCATGGCGCAGCATGCTGTTGTGGCTACTAAGATGAACTTAAAATTAAGTGGGTCGGCAGTGAGCACAGCACCCAGCCATGTACAAAAGAAGGTATTTCAGAAACACTTTTGTTCTATATTTCATTGTAACATACTGTCTAGTCTTGGACGTACGAAGAATTCTACCAAACCATCTCATTCTAGCTTTCTTCATTGCTCTGTAAGCTGTTGTTTGCAGGTACAAGAGAATATGACGAAAAACAAGAAGAAGAAACTCAAGAAGAAGGCGAAAAAGCAGCGAGAGCTGTTGGAGTCGCAGCTAGCCCAGATGGAAGGGCTCACTGTTGATGCGAATGCCATTCAAGAAGTACTTAACAGTGCTCCAGTGAGTAAATAACCCATGCTTTTTCATCGAATTATTAAATTTCAAGGCCATAAACTTTTTCTTCGGATAGTTTTTTTTTGAGTTTTTCAAACTGTATTGAATGCCCTCAGACGTAAAGTCTATTTAACACATTGACGACGGCCCACATTTCTCTATCTAAGCCGTGAGGGGCCTTCGCGTTTTTGCTAGTGTTGCGGTTGTGATCCAGTTAGAATCATTTTGTTCCACATGGCCCGTTTTTGCAGTTTGAAACTAAAACTATTTTGTAGCGATTTTTGTTGGTTCATGTATCAGATAAGTATGGAAGAAAATTAGCATGAACAAACACTTACTGCGATGTATGAAGTGGTCGGAATGTGTAATAATGGGGGGGGGGATTTTTCGTCTTCCGATCTACGACGAGTTACGAAAAGGTCAAAATGAGAAATTGAAATGGAGGAAGTGAGTGGGAACAGGGGTTCAGCTTTTGCGATGTGTAGAATCGCGAATGGAGAGAGGAGAATAGAAGTTAAAGTGGTTCATCGTGGTCCAGCGACGTCTCACCTGAGAATAATGATTTATGGGGCGAATCTGGTTCACTTGAATGACAATGGCAAAAAGTGGCCTTTGGAACAGAGAGTTTATAGTTCTGTATAGAGTGCAGAGTTTTGTCTTCCTTCCGTGCAGAGTGAAGCAAACATGAAAATTGTAACTTCAAAAATTCCACACTGATCACAGCATTATTAAATTATTTTTTGAATCACGTCGTTCAGCTTTCAACCTAAGGTAAATCAGGAAAAATGTTCAAAAACCTGAAAAAGATCGCGCATGTGCGAAGAAATGTGGTGAGGTTCGTTCCCGAACTACACTGTGTAAAATGTGCTGTCGCCAATGTGTT